GGCTCGGCGGGTTTGAATCTTGTCTTTTTTATTTAAAACAAACATCTGTGCGCTGTGTACAGACCTGGCTCCAGAAGCTGGTGGCAGGGCCAAGCCGGGTGGAGGGCAAGGGCAACTGGAGGGCAGTGGGCCTGGCGCCCACCTGGACGCAGGGCCAGTCGCTCACTCCTCCTGCCCTCCCCCTCCATGGCAGGCCCTTCCTGCCACAGGAGTCCAGACAGGGGGTCCCTCCTAAAGCAAAGACCCCTTGAGCTTGCTTCGGGGCGCCCCCAAGGCCCAAGGAAGAAGCCCAGTCTGACAGGCCAGGCTCCCTTGGGCCATGTCCTGGGGCAGCCTGGGCAGCCAGCCTGGTGGGTTGTGGGCAATGCTGGGCAGAAGCAGAGCCAGGGGACGGGCCAGACCCCAAGGCGTTAAGGCAGAGCAGGGTGAGGGGTACACGGCCCAGTGGGCAGGCCGGCCTTTGGCACAATCAGGGTGGGCGGCCCCAGGGACCATGGGCAGGGCGGAATGGCCGGTAGACTGGAAGGAGGTGTCGCCCCTGGGTCCTGGACCCCCCACTCCAAGGCTGGTGGGCAGGCCCGGGGGCCCCAGCCTCTGCCTGAGTGTCCCATTGCCGCGTCCCGGCTCCAGCTCCCGGGCTCAACAAAGCGTGTCCGTGTTGAAGGAGAGCTGGGCCTGGGGGCAGCATGCAGGACACACTCAGGGGCATCGTCCACCCCAGACCTGGGCCCAGCTATGGCCTCCAATCCTGGCCTCTCCCAGCCCCGAAGCCAGCCCGGTCCCTCTCACCTCTGCACTTCCCAGAGGCTTCCCTCTTCCGAGTCTACTGCCCCATGCTGTCCTGGCCTGTCCCTGCTGCCCTCCACCCCACCCTGCCACAGCCTGTCCTCCTATAGTGCCCCACTCCACCTCAGTCTGTCTGCCCCCCACTGTACCTCAGCCTGTGCCCCCCACCCAACCTCAGCATGTCTGACCCCCCCTATTCCCAATGTGCTTTGGGGTCTGCTCCCCCCTACCCACACCCAGGCTCATCTCTGGGAGCACCCGGGTGGACCCCTCTGTCCCCCGGGACTCTGAAGAGCAGGTGTCCCCCTGCTGGCTGGCCCCCCCCCCCAGTCCCTGTGACCCCCAGGGGGCAGCCCCTCACCCTTTCCTCCTCAAAGCTGATGAGACCCTCATCCTCTGTGTCCAGGTCCTCGGGCTCGTCGGCCACCAGCGCCCGGAGCTCAGTGGGGGCTGGGCGGGCCCGGAACAGGCTGAGCAGGCGACTGAGTGGGGACTGCAGGCCGGAGGGCAGCTCCGTCTCCTGCTGCTCCAGGTTGTCACTCTGCTTCTTGGCGAAGTTCACGAACACCTGGGGGCGGGGGGGCGGGGGGAGTATCAGGCAGATGGGCAGGTTGGCCAGGGTGGGGAGCAAGTGGGGTGGGCAGGTCGGCCAGGTGAGACGGCAGCTGAGAGGTGGTCAGGGGGGGACATCGGGCGGGTGGCAGCCTTGGCTCACATTGTCCAGGGTGGTCTGGCTGACGGAATAGTCCTCAATGCCCAGCACGCCCACCACCTGCTCCATCCTGCTGAACACCTGGGCCAGGGAGATGTGCTGGGACTTCAGCTGGTACTGCACCTTGGTGTGATGCCGCTCCTGGGGGCAGCGGCGGGTCAGGGCCACTCAGGCAGGGTGCTCCCCACCCCCAGGGGCACCCACCTTGAGCACCGCCTCCGGGAAGTGGTGGTTGAAGAACCGCACCACATCCTTCACGTTCTGGCTGACCTTGGTCCGCACCGTGATCATGTAGCCGTCCCCAAACCTGGGGACAGGCACACGGCCCAAGGGCCCTGCTGTCACCCCCTGTGGCCACAGACCCACCCCCCAGCACTGCCCCCACCCCCACCCCTGTCCCACGGCGACCCCTCTCTCTCTCCCCTATAGCTTGCAGCCCTGCCCCCAGCACCCCAGGGCCTCACCTGTTTTTCAGGTGCTGGATGCTGCCCAGGCAGCGGAGCCGACCGTTCACCATGATGGCCAGCCGCGTGCACAGGGCCTCACATTCCTCCATGCTGTGGACACAGAGCTGGGGCTGGCACGGCTCGGAGGTGGGGGTGTAGGGTGGCAGAGGGAGAGGGTAGGGACCCACCTGTGAGAGGTCAGAACTACCGAGCGGCCAGTCTTGATGAGGTCCAGGATGAGATTCCACAGAAAGCGCCTGGCCTTGGGGTCCATCCCAGTGGTGGGCTCATCCTGAGGGGAGAGCGAGCTCAGTAGGATCCAGCCCCCGCTGCCCGCCCACCGCCCCGCCCCAGGCCGCCGCCCCGCCTCACGCCGCCCCGCCCTCTAGCTCACCAGGAAGATGAAGGCCGGGTACCCGATGAGGGCGATGGCGGTGGACAGCTTGCGCTTGTTTCCGCCGCTGTACGTGCCGGCAGGCTTGTCGGCATACTTGGTCAGCTCCAGCTTCTCCAGCGCCCACCTGATCACCTGGGCGGGAGGGCGGAGGCTCAGGGCCAGTCTACCGCACAGAGCCCTGCCCCTGGCCCAACCGACCGGACCCTCACCTGCGCCTCGTCCTTCCAGGGGATGCCGCGCAGCCGCGTGTACAGCTGCAGGTGCTCCCGAGCCGTGAGCTCATCGAACAGGGCGTCAAACTGCGGGCAGTAGCCCAGGCTCTGCTGCACCTGGAGCAGCTCCTTCAGCACGCTGCAGCCAAGGGAGTCCCGTCAGCAGCCCACCCTGCCCCACCGACATGCACCACATCCACCATACAGGGCGCCCAGCCTGCAGCATCTCTCCCACAAGCTCCGCCCATGTGGACCACGCCCACCACCGGCCCTGCCCCTAAAGTCCCGCCCACCGCACAGTCCACTCACCTGGACCACACCCACCGCACCCCACTGCCTCTGTGTATCCATCATGCACAGGTACACCACGCCCACCACATACATGCACCGCCCCATCATGCTTTCCTGTGTCTTATCCATGTGGACCACGCCTACTACACGCCAGGCCCACTACACACCCTGCCCATCATGCGTCCCATGTGCACTGTGCGCATTCACCCAGCGCAGCACCCCACCTCCAGCATGCCCCTCCCATGGGCCCGCCCCCACGCAGTGTGCACACCTGTGCCCATTGATAAAGGCCTCGCCCCCCGTCGTGCTCTCGTCGCCCGTGAGCATCTTGAAGGTGCTGGTCTTTCCGGCGCCGTTGACACCCAGGAGGCCGAAGCACTCTCCTGGACGCACACCCAGGCACAGGCGGTCCACCGCCAGGATGCGTCCCATCTTCCGGGACTTGTACACCTGTGAGGCGGGCGGGGTGCCGCTCAGCTGAGCGGCCACTCTCCCAGGGCCCACCCCTACACCGATCCTGGCCCCTAACCCCTCCCGAAGCCATGCCCCAACCCACCTTGGTCAAGTTCTCGATCTTGACCATGTCATTGTCTGCGTCCCCCCGCAGCACTCGCTGCCGCTCACTGGCCACATCGATGTCATCCTCCACGGGCTGGGTGGACACCGGCATGCGCCTGGGGGGACACGGTTGGCAATGCCCAGCCACCCACCCTGCCATCTCCCTGGGGCGCCACCAGTCCTGGCCGGCACCCACTCACCGCAACAGCCACAAGGAGGGTGGACGGCGCCGGCCCTCCCCTGCCCTGCCACGGCCTCTGCCCCACTCACTGCGGCCGCCGCATGAAGCTGTACTGGCACATGATGGTGAGGAAGAAGCCCACAAAGCCCTCTATGGCCATGGCCACCAGCCCACGTGTGACAATGTCCCACTCGAACGGGGACTTCATCTTGTCAAACTGGCCTGTGGAACAGCAGGCTCAGCCGGGTGGGGGGAGGGCTCTGGGCCCCCGCCACCTCCCCACAGTGGGCGTCCCCCGCCCCCCCCCACAGGCCGGCCGTGGCCTACACACCGATCTTCGCGTAGTACTCGTTAATGTACTCGTTGTAGGCCATTTCCATGAGCCCGTGGCCCAGGTTGTAGTTGGGGAAGAGGAGGAAGCAGCTTTTCAGGTAGCTGTTGACGACCTTCAGGTCCTGGAAAACCACGGGGTGTCAGGTACCCAGCCCAGGCAGCAAGCCACCCCCCCACCTCTCCAGCCCCCCCCCCCACCTTATCGTGCTCAAAGAGCTGCAGCAGGAAGGTGGCCACGGTGGCCGTGATGCCGATGAAAAGGTTGATGACGATGAGGAAGACGTAGGCGGAGCTGGGCACCTCGAACCAGAAGGATGCCGGGTACATGATAGGGGTGATAGACCACCTGGGGGCAGGCCAGCGTCACTGACTGCCTGGCCCAGCCGGCCTGCCCCTGCCCCTGGCCCAGCCTTACCCATAGAGCAGGAAGAGCGAGAGCACAGCCGGGAAGTTCGTGGGCGACGTGTAGGCCGGCAGGTCAAACACAAACAGGATGATGACGCAGCAGGTGGCTGGGACCAGGTAGTTGAGCTGCAAGAGTAGGGGTGGCTGGGGGTGGGGGCATCGGAAGGGACGGGGGCTGGTGTGCAGGGCCGCAGATCTGGGGTAAGGGGGAAACCTGGGTTGGGCTGCAGGAATGCAGGGTGGGCATGGAGCGCAAAGACCTTGCATGCGGGCAGGGGCATAGCTGGCAGGTGCCCAGGGCGGGCTCATGCTTGGGAATAAACAAGGGCCGTTGCTACCGGCGGGCAAGGGGTGGGCTGGGGCCCCAGGAACCCTCCACATCAAGGCACCCAGGCCGCACCATGTCCCACACGTAGTTGGCCAGCCAGTAGATGACAGGGTTGCAGCCACTGACGAACTGCAGGTGTTTGGCCTTGGTGGACTTCTCGGCCACCAGGAAGACCACGAAGCTGGCTGGTACGAAGGACATGGCCACGATGATGAAGATGGCGATGACCACATCGGTGCCCTGCAGCCTGGCGTGGGTGGGAAGGGACGCCAAGCTGGCCTGAGTCCTGCACCAGGGTGCGTGGCCCCCCCTGCATGGCCCCGCCCCACCCAGCCTCCAGGCCACCCCTCTGCCCCACGTGGCCCTGTCCAGCCTCCCCGCAGCCCCCAAGAGGCATACAGGTAATCCAGGGAGAGGCTGGCACTGGTCTTGTTCATGGGGTGGTTGGTGACGGTGATACCTATGATAAAGGGAAGGCAGCCTCAGGCCCCGCCCTGCCCCGTCCCCGCCTCTGCCTTGCCCCGCCCCCAGCCCCACCCACCATAGGCCGCAGGGTTGCCCTTGCTCTTGGGCAGGTTGGCCCGCAGGATGGCGTTGTTGAGGCTGTTGAGGTAGGTGGGCATGCTGTGATATCCCTTGTTGTTGTAGAATACCTGCACAGAGGGGGAGAGGAGGGCTGAGCGAACACGAGTCCCTTGGGGGTCACCACCCTTCAGTGGACCCCAGGCGCTTACCTGGGCCGCCCTGCGCACCGCGATCTTCCGCACCATGGGCGGGGCCTGGGCGCCAAACGAGGCTGGGATGGATTTTTGCACATGCCCAAAGGTGATGGCCCCGTACCTAGCCAGGCAGGAGGGGCAGTAAGGCCTGGTGGACGGCCACTGGCCTGGCCCCCAGCCCAGTCGCTCCTGCTCACCGGTGCAGCCGGAAGCGGTCGGAGGTGAAGAGCAGATACTCGGAGACGTTGTGGCCAGTGATGTCCATCAGAATGTCACCCGTCACCACGCGCATCTGGGGTGGGTGTCCACCCACACCGCTGGGACAGGAGAAGCCTGTGCCCTGCGTGGAGCAGCTGCAGCGGACAGGCTCCCGCACCAGGCGCGGCAGCGAGGGTGCTGAGGTCCAGGTCTCTGGGGGTGGGGCCAGGTGGGGACACAGTGCATAAGCCAGGCTCCACCCCTGGGCCCACCCATCCTACACCCCGTCCCACCCCCAGGGTCTCAGCCACCTGCTAACCCCCCTGCTACGGCCCCCTTCCCCTCTGACCCCTCCCGCTCACAGGGAGGGTCCCGTGGCATCACCTGGCACGGCAGTGGGTGGTAGGGAGACGTTCCAGGCCTGCAGAGGGTCATCGTCGGAGGACACGGGGGAGTCGGAGGGGGCGGGCGAGGGTGGGGGTGGCACGAAGTTGGAGAGGGGCACCCCCTGGGTGAAGGACTCGAGGCACATGCTGTCAAAGAAGCGAGCCGCCAGCACCCGGGACTCGCCGCTGCTCAGGTTCATGGTGGGCCCCAGGGAGCCATTGGCGGGAGACTTGAGCACGCAGGTGGCGCCCACGCCAGAAGGCAGCCGAAAGGTGCTGACCAGCTGCTGGGGGCCAGCGTCTGGTGACAGCCGCAGCCTAGGGTACGCAGCTGTGAGTGGGGCGGTGCCCCTGGCCTCCCAGGCCTCCAGTCTGCACCACCCGGCCCTGCTCACCTGTCCTCCCAGCGCTGCTCATTGGCATAGGGGATGAAGTTCCCTCGGGGCTGGGTGTAGTTGTGGTACTGAGACGGGGAAAGGACCAGTGGAGGCAGGTCACCTGGCAAGGGGCAGGCAGGCTCAGTGGGCAAGCAACTGCTGCAGCCCAGACTTGGGGAGGCCGCCCCCCCTACCCCGGAAGAGCCCTAGTGTGCTGCTAGCCTCCCAGAAGGGGGGCATGGGGCGCGGGGCGCCAGCCCACGTGGCTGTACCGATCTCGGGCACCGACAGAGCCACCGTCATGGCCACGCAGACAAAGAGGGCTGGCAGCAGGATCTGGGAGCAGAGGGCCTTGGAGTTGCGGCGCGCACAGTGGAAGCGCTTCACCAGGAGCCCGTGGAACTGGCGCAGTCGCAGCCACCAGCCATCCAGCCGGCGGCTGCCCTGGCCAACCCGCGTGAGGGCCTCCACCTCGGCCTCTGCAGGGGGGGGACGGGAGCGGGGGACTGAGCGGAGGAACTCACAGCCACGGCGTGCCCAACCCATCCCGCCCCAGCCCCCGCGCCCCCGACCTTGCAGGCTGACATTGTCGGGGTCCTGCAGGTTGTCAAAGAGGGGGTGATAATCCTCGTAGGCCTCGGCATAGCCAGCGCCCTCGTCACCACGGGCAGAGCCCACGGAGGATGCTGCTGACTGCAGCGATGCCTGAGACTCAGCCAGCTCTGAGCAGCGTGCCAGGTTGCCAGCAGGGGCCTCCCCAGCCACTGGGCCCCCTGTCCCCAACATCACGTCCTTCCTAGATTCCTTCACATCTGCAAAGCAGAGGATTGTTGGGGGGTGGGGAGACTCAGGGTGTTTACCCAGAGACCCTGGGCAGCAGGGTCCCACTTCCACCCATGTTCTCCCTCCCAGAAGCCCCAGCCTCCAGCTGCCCCTGGGGAGCAGGGCCCCACACACAGCCACCCATGAGGACCTCTGATCTGCAGCTGACCCACCCAAGGGCTGGCAGAGGGAGGAGTGTGTGTGGGGTAAGGTGCTCGGTGGGCACCAGGGGGGCTGCGGCCCCTCACCAGCCTCGCTGTTTTCCAGGGACTGATCCTCCTCCGACACCTTGAGAAACACCTCCTCCAGTGTGGTGTCCATCAGCCCGAAGCTGCTCAGGGACAGCTCCTCCAGACTGCGCTCCAGGTGCTACAGGGCAGGGGCAGGGGCAGAGGTGAGGCAGGGCAGGGGCCAGGTCCCGGGGCTCCCAGAGGCCCAGCTGCCCTGGCCAGCCCCCTACCTGGAAGAGGCGCTCGAAGGCCCCTTTCTTGGCAGCCTCGCTGGGCAGCATGTAGGACAGCTCTGTGCTGGTGTCGGAGACTAGCAGGCAGGAGGCCACGTGTTTGCGGATGAACTGGGAGACTTGCAGCTCTGAGCAGCTGCTCAGCACGGCCCGGCCCGGGGGGCTGGACCCTAGCCCTGGCTCTGGGGGCAGAGGAGGAGCAGGGAGGGCCGTCAGAAAGGAGACCTGGGGTGGGAGGAGGCCAGGTCTCCCCAGCCCTTGGTCTGCCCTGCCTCCAGGGGTCTGTGGACAGACCTTGGGGGGGCCCTCCGGGATCGGCAGGCCGCTTGACCAGAGTGAGGCGGTACCCATCGCCATAGGCGCCCTTGAGGAACAGAGGCGAGCCACAGCATTTGAGCTTCCCATGGGAGATGATGGCAATCCGGTCCCCTAGCAAGTCGGCCTCGTCCATGTGGTGGGTGGACAGAAGGATGGTACGGCCTGCAGAGAGGCGGTGCTGGGTTCAGGGGTCTGGGAGGGGCCAGGCAGGCACCACACCTGGCCCCCTTCCAGCTACCCTGCTCACCCGGCTTGTACTTCAGAATGAGGTCCCAGATAGCGCGGCGGGCATAGGGGTCCACGCCAGCCGTGGGCTCGTCCAGGATGATGGCGCGGGACCCGCCCACGAAGGCAATGGCCACGGAGAGCTTGCGCTTCATGCCGCCGGACAGCGTCTGCACCAGCGAGCGCCGCTTGTTGGAGAGTTCTAGGTCCTGGATCATCCTGGAAGGGCAGCAGGGCAGGAGCGGGGATGAGGGCAGGCACGCTCCGCCTGGCCCCGCCCCTCCAGGCCCCGCCCCGGGCCCCGCCCACTTGTCCATCTCCTTGCAGATCTCCTCCTGCGCCATACTCTTCAGGCGCGAGTAGAACCACAGGTGTTCCTCCACTGTGAGGCGGTCGAAGAGCACGTTGTGCTGCGGGCACATGCCCAGGTTCTTGCGGATTTCGTCCATCTCCGTGCGGATGTCGTGCCCGTAGATGGTAGCCGAGCCCGAGGTGGGGGGGAACAGGCCGGTCAGGATGGACCTAGATGGGAGGGCAGGGATCACCACCAGCCGGCTGCATGGGCACCCCCTCCACCCCTGCAGGCGGGCAGGCAAAACTCAGGAGGACTCACATGGTGGTGGTCTTGCCAGCCCCGTTGTGGCCCAGGAAAGAGACCACCTGGTTCTCATACAGGTTCAGGCTCAGCTTGTTCAAGGCGAGCTTCCTGTCATTCTTGTAGACCTTGGTGAGCTTGTCCACGCACACCACCAGTGGCAGGTGGGTGGGCTCCTCCTCCATGCCGCGCATCTCCTCTGCACAGGGCGAGGGTCACTGGGGCAGGGGGCAGGGCGGAAGGTTCCCGGGGTTCCCGGGGCCCCAAACCCCGTTCCCCACTGCCCAGTGCCTCACCGAAGCGCCGGCTCTCCATGGCGCAGGCTTGGTCTTCCTCCATGACGCTGAGACGGGGGGGTTTAGCCCACGGCCAGTTCCATTCCCACGTCTCGGTTCGCCCACTGCCCAGCCAGTAGGACTTCTGCAGCGGGAAGTACCAGGGCCGGGGCAGCCCATACATGCCTGGGGGCCGGGGACGGTAGGGAGGCTGACCCAGGGTGTGAGGGTGGGCAGGCCACCAGAGAGGGGCCTTCTGTGCACCGCCGTCCCCCCGAAGCTGCTGACCAGGGAGATGTTCAGGCGCATGCACTGCCCCAGCCCCTGCGGGTGTACCTGGGTGCACAGCCTCTATGTACCACGTGAGCATGCCGTAGACAGCCGCATCTACCACCAGCATGGTGACGGCCAGCAGCAGGTTGAAGTCGTCCCCCTCCACAGGGGACTGGCTGAAGGTATGCCACTGAATGCCCACGCCTGCCACCTCATACAGGGCAAAGTACTTGGAGCCCAGGCCGAAGGCTGTCGTGGACATCAGGGACTGAGGGGATGGCGGGGTCAGTGGCAGAGCAGGGTGGGCAGGGGTAGCCGCCGCCCGCCTGCCCACCCACCTAGGGCCCTCACCGCAATGCACTTCTCAAAGGCCGTGATCCGGTCATGAGCCACTTCCTCGCGGATGGCCACGTACATGTAGGGCACGTAGCTCAGAAAGTAGACAATCCCTCCGCAGGCGGAGGCCAGCTTGGCCTTGGAGTACAGCACAGACACCAGGAAGCTGTGGGCCGCCCGCAGGGTGGTCAGCTGTGCCTTCCGGCCACCCCGCAGCCCCAGCCCCACGCCCGTGCCTGCCGGCCAGCCCTAACCAGAACATGATGGTGGCCACGGCATAGACGGCCAGGAAGAGCCAGATGATGAGCACGTGGCTGTGCATGAGGACCTGGCCGTACTTGAGGATGGCCGTGAGCGCGGTCACCGAGATGGACAGCTGCACGAAGCCAGTGATGAACCAGGCCACCCAGTGCACTGCATTGTTCAGGCCCATGGTCTTCATCACCTGTGGGGGCAGGTGGGGATGCAGGCCCAGGCGCGCCCCGCACCCTGCGCCCCCGCCCGTGCCCCCGCCCGTGCCCCCGCCCGTGCCCCCGCCCGTGCCCCACCTCCTTTAGCCGGTGCTCCTTCTCCGCCACGATGTGCTGGATGGTCATGGCCACCGAGTAGACCCAGGAGATGACCATGCAAAGCGGCATCATGTGTTCGATGACGAACAGGAAGCTGCGGGGCAGGGGCGTCAGCACGCCGGCTCAAGCCCGCCCCCCGCCCCCCACCCCCCTCAGCCTGCACTCACTCGTCGCGCGTGTAGCACGGGTAAGGAAACATCTGCACATAGCTGCCCGGCTCCACCACGTCATGGCCCACGAAGATGTTGATGATGGCGCGTTCCATCATGTCTGTGGGCCGGTGGACAAGGTGGTCAGCGTCGGGCAGCCCTTGCCCGCCGTCCCGCGCCGCCCGCCCCCGCAGCCACCCTGCAGACCCCCTCACCCTGGATCCACACGAAGCCGTACAGGAAGTAGAAGCGGCCCCCCGTGTTGGGCCCTGGGCGCCAGTAGGCCCTGCGGATCTCATTGGTTTTCTCCGTGAAACTGGAGTTCTGGCGGATTTTGTAGTGGACGTGGGGCGGCAGGGAGCCATCCTTACGCATCTGGAAGATGACGCCTGCGGGCCCAAAGCGGGGCAGGGTGGTGGGGGCGGAGCTTGGCAGGGCGGGGTGTAGGGTGGGCCAGGGAGGCGGGGCGGGGCACGAGGCTCACTGGCAAACACAGTGACGTTGTCCTGATAGGCCTGGTTGAGCGTATAGTTGACGATGCTCTCCTCGTCGGGAAAGCCTTTGAAGATGTCCACGCTGACCTGCGGAGTGGCCAGGGTTGGTGCAGCCCCGGTGGGGGCGGGGCGGGGCCCCACCGGTTGGCTCCGCCCGCTCCACATTACCCCCACCCCCACCTTTGACATGAACTGGATCCAGCCACAAGCGGCATTATCGATGGTGTCCAGCTGCTGCAGCAGGGCCGAGCCATTAGGCAGCGAGAAGTTGTCCTGGCGCAGGGCAGGCGGCAGCTCCTCCAGCGAGAGGTTCTGTGCTTCGGGGTGCAGCCGTAGCTCTGTAACATACTGAGGGTGCAGGGCTAGCTTAAGAGGAGGGCGTGGCCATCGCCCTGCCACCCCACCCCCACCCAGCCAGGCCGCAGGCGGCACCTGCTGCAGCCAGCGTAGGTGCTGCCGCAGTCGACCCTGCTCCAGAAAGCTGCGGATCTCCGACGAGATGTTGAGCCAGACCTGGGCGTAGTGCGTCACGTTGCCCAAGAAGGCGAAGGTCTCGTTGGCCTGCAGAAGATGAGGGGGCTGATGTGGGGTTCCACAAGAAACCCAGCCAGTATGGGTCCTCTGCGGCCAGCACCTTCCACCACGCCCCAGCTGGGCGCAGTCAACCACCTCCCTGCCCCACCTCCATGAAGCTTCTAATAGGGTCCTCACCCACGGCCAGCCTACTCTCCTGGGCTGCTGACCAGCTGCGTCCTGGCTCAGCCACACCCCTCATGAGCTTCCGGGGGACCACATTCTCTAGCTCCTACCTGCCCTCAACTCTCCGCTTCTCATCCTATGGACCCCTTGCATTCCCAGGACTCCAGCCTCCTTCCCAGGAGCCCCTCCCAAGCTGGTTTCTGCTGGTTCCTGACAATCTCCTCTCACTGGCCAGTGGCCTGAGCCAACCCCATGGAACCGCCTTCCCTTCTGTGCCTACTCAGCTGCCTGCCACCTATCCTTGCCCCATACGGACCCTGCACCCAACAAGCACCGTGACCTGTTCATCGCCTCCTCCGGCCCCTGTGAGGCCAGGAGCCCCCCAGGTGCGGCTCATCAGGCGCCCACGGCTCAGCCTCCGCCCCAGAGGCCCACCTATGGAACCAGGGCCTGCGTGCCCCCAGTGGAGCCGCCTCCCAGGCCATCTGCTCCGGGCCCAGCACAGACTGGCCCCCACCTTCAGGATGACGCGGTCGGCCTCGGAGCCCGCAGGCGCATACAGGATCTTGGGATTGCTGGTCATGAGGTGCACCAGGAGGCCCAGGTTCCGCTGCTCCTTATTCGTGAAGCCCAGGGAGCTCATGTTGGCTCTGCGCAGTGCCTCAGGCTCGATGGTGCTGGGGGCGGGGCCGAGAGGGGCGGGGCTCAGTGTGGAGCGGGGAGCTGACGCAGTGGGTTAAGCATTGGGCTGCGGACGGAAGAGGCAGTCCGCGCCCAAGGTTTGCAGCCTCGACCCCACAGGAACACTCCTGCGTTGTCCGGTGGGGTCGCAAGGAGGCCGAATGGGCTTGAGGACGGTGCGGGCGCCTGGGTTGGGACATTCGGGTGCAGCAGGATACTAGGGAGGGGCAGGGCTTCAAAGAGTGGGTGTGGCGTCAAGCTGCGGGGCCGGGCGCTGCCTGGGAATGGCAGGCAGGGTGGGGCCTGCACCACTGACCGGTTGTTGCCGCAGAGGATGGGCTGCAGGCCGGCCCACAGCTGCACGAAGGCTGCACACTGGCCCTGTAGCTTGTCTGCTGAGGCCGGGGCCCCGGCGGGCGGGGCGCCTTCCTCCACTGAGGCATTGGCCCCAGTGGTGGCACCCAGGCCGGTGCCATTGGCCACGCCCCCAGGCACGCTGGCAGGGGAGGGGCTCCGACCAGCACAAGCACCCTGAGGTAGCAGCAGGGCCAGAGCAGAGAGGACATCCACATCCCGCAGGGCCCTCTGGGCGTCTAGCAGGTCTTCCAGCAGCGCCTGGATTTGCAGGGGTGGGGGCTGCTGCTGCCGTTGGGGGTCCGACCCATTGGTCCCATCCAGGCCCAGCTGAGAGGAGAGAGATGTGGGGGGCTGCAGGTCCAAGGCGGGGTGCCTGGGCCCAGGGCCTCGGGTAGGATTTTCGGATTTTCAAGTGGACTAGCTGAGGGGGGCAGGTGACGGGGACAGGGCTGAAAGCAGGTCTGCAGTCCAGTGGGTGGATGCTGAGGGGGCACCGGGCGGGGGGTGCGGGGCGTTCTCGGGTGCTCTCACTGATGGGGCCCCTGTGGCTCCCACATGGACATTGCCGGCCCTGCTGTCCAGTTGGCATGCGGGACCTCACCTGCCGGGTGACCTTGGCCATGTCCAGCTGGCTCCTGAGCTCAGCTGCCAGCGCAGAGAAGCGGCGAGCGCGGGTGGCGGCCTGCCCGCTGCAGACAGAGTCCCGATAGCCCTGCAGTGCACTCTGCTGGCCTTTAGGTGCCCTGAGGATCTGGCCCAGCTCCCCGGAACCTGGTATACAGGTCAGCCTCTCCAGGAAGGCGGGGGTCCGCAGCAGCTCCTAGAGGCAGGGGACCGTGAGGTCAGGGGCAGGGTCTCCAGGAAGGAACTCCCACCCAAACAAGAAGAGCCAGAGGGCCTGGCCCAAGACGGCTTTCCACCCCCAACTCTGCCCAGGGTCAGGCCCCTTTCCTCCCCAACCTGGGTAGAGCCTCTCCAGGGGCAGAAAGTGTGCTCTCCAGGGACCTGGTCCCCTCCCTTCATCCAGAGGAGGGGTTTCATGCCAGCAGCCCCCCAGGGCTCACATGCAGGGCAAGCAAAGGGCTAAAGAGCAGGAGGTAGACCTGGGGCCCGGAAGAGGTGGCATGACTCAGGCTGTGGGGCTGGAAAGCCTGGTTCAGGACCCCTTGATCCCAGAAGGGTAGCCTAGATGCCCTTGCATTCCCAGGTCAGGGCTTCAGGGCAGGCATTGCATCATGCCAGGGCTAGAGGCTGTCCCCTAGAGGTACCGACCACCACCCAGTGGGGTGCCAACTTCACCTCTGGTGAGTCCACCTGGGCAGCCATCAGAGCCTGAGCTGTGCTGTTGGGTAGCGACAAATTCTGCGTCAAGAAGAGCCACAGCTCCCGGGGGTCCCTGGCCACTGAGTCCAGCGAGAAGGAGGGTACTAGGCAGGCAGGAGAGAGGGGGCAGGCCGGTTGGGAGGGCACCTGCTCAGCCCCGTGCCTATGCAGCCCAAGCCCAGGGCTCAGCAGCCCAAGTGTGTATGTTTGTGGGGGGACAGGACGGGGGAGGGAGGACAGGGAGGCACGGTGTGGAGCCCAAGATAGCACCCCTAAGTGCACCTGCAGGGCTGGCTGGGCTGTTCTCCCAGGTGGTGGGACCAGTGCTCAGGGCCTCCAGGTGCTGCCGCAGGGCTTCCAATTCTGAACCCAGACTGGGCCTTGCAGGGTCAAACAGGTTACCCTCCTCCACCACCCGGCTGAGCCGTTCCAGAAGCTGCGTGACCCTGAAACAACACAGGGTCACCTGTGCCCAGCACTCTGTTGGGCAGGGGAGGGTACACCAGGGATTAGAGGAGGGGTACTCCCTGAGATTGGGACAGGGTACTCACGTGGAGTTGGTGTACTGCAGGAAGCCAAACTCATCCCGCTGGCCGTCTGGGCACAGGGATTGCATGACGGGTAAGATGCCAGCAGAAGTCAGGGGTGCTGCAGTGTAGAAAGCTGCGGGAGGGCAGTGGGGAACCGGCAGAGAGGAGAGTGGCCGACAAGGAGGGAGACAGAGGCCAGAGGAGAGAGTGCAGAGTCAGGAAGGGGGCGTGGTTCTGGGCAGGAGAGAATAAGCACAGGCTGGCCAGCAAGCAGGTCCAAGGTCGAGGTTGGGAAGGGCCACGCAGCCCTGGCCCAGAGCCCCCAGGCATCCCTCGCCCCTCAACCACCCCCTCAGGACAGCGACCTCAGACCTCTCTGGCCAGCGAGTTAGCAGAAATAAGTGCAGGAGCCCGCAGGGAGTGACGGAAGGAGTCAGGATAGTCTGGCCTCAATCCTAGGCTAGCAGGGCCCTTGCTCAGAATCACCCCACACAAGATCTAGGCTCCATCCCAGGCTAACCCAGCCCCAGCTCAGGCTATCTAGCCTCAGTCCCAGGATAACCCAGCCCTAGTTCAGGCTAAACTTGGTTCCAGCTCAGGCTAGCTCAGTCCCAGCCCAAGCTAGCCCAATCTCAGCCTCAAGATAGCCTAGCCCTCGCTCAGGCTAGCCCAGCTCCAGCCCAGGCTAGCCTGGCCTCAGTCTGAGGACAGCTGGACCCCCGGCCCAGGATAGCCCGGCCTCAGTCCTAGGTTCACCTGGACACTGAGCCCCTGGAGTGCACAGTCAGGCGGCGGCCCAAGAGAGAGGCTAGCAGCTGTGGCCCAGCCCCTGGCCTTTCAGTACCCACCCCCCACGCTTGAGCCAGCTGTCCCTGCCGGTGCAGGGGAGGCTGTTAATGCAAGCAAGGAGGGGTGCTGAAGCCACCCGCCCTGCTGCCTGGGGCCAGCCTGGAGGAAGCGGCTGCTCACTTACAGACTGCATGCGGCCGTGAAGGAGGAGGGCAGAGACCATGCGTGGGCGGGACGGGGTCAAAACAGAACAGAGGAGACAGTGAGTGCCCAGGGCCACCGGGCCAGCCGCACCCTCTCGGAGGCCAGCGGCAAGGCCGGAGCGCAGCTGCAAAGGGTATGCAGATGGCGCTCCGGAGCCAGGGTGCAGGTGGGCACATGCATGCAGACACGTGCACACAGCACATGCCCCCGCACCCCCCATTGCCCGCTCGCCCGTTGGGGACCCTCACCTTCCTTCACCGAGATGGTGGGCTTCTTCTGCCGCAGCCCCAGCAGGATGAAAAAGAGGACCAGCGGGATGAAGATCTCGAAGGCCAGAACCCACTGTGTGTGCATGGGGGGGAGGGGGGCTCGTCAGACCCACTGTGTGTGCGTGGGGAGGAGGCATCAGATCCACTGTGTGTGCTTGGGAGGCTGGAGGGGGGCTCGTCAGACCCACTGTGTGTGCGT